AAGAAACGTTCATAAAGATGACCAGATGCTACTGAGAACACGTTTATGGTTTCATCTTTCGGGATGTCTTCTTTTGTTTCACTTCCAACGATGCTAGGTAAATAGGTATGAAGAAAACTGCTTTTGGTTATTTACAACAGTGGTACAAAACATCAAAAAACAAGAAAAAGAAAAACAATAACAACACCAGAAATAACGACAACTGAAGGCGGGCATCCATACTGTGAAGCCCTCTTATCTATTTTGTGAAGTTGTGGGCGCTTTCCATTCAACCAGAAATTTTCGAATTTTCGACACGTAGGCAATTGGTGCGGAAGTTTACTTAGAAATGCGACAATCTGGGAGGAAAATCAAACAGGACGGAAATTCCCGGTCAGACAATTTCGAACACTTGGATATAACTTGCGAGGTTGTCCTCTTTTCCGAATTCCGGAAAATGTTTTTTTTTTTTTTTCGCCAATGAGAAGTTTCCGGAAATGCAAACCGGAATTTTTGATTCAATGGAAAGAGCCCTGTGTCTACATGAAATACATCGCAGTTCAAATCACCTTGAGAGTGAATCCCATATTCCTCCGGAAGACTTGCTGTCAGAATCACTTAAGAGATCTTTACCTTCCATGCCAGGCTTTCTCTTTACCTGAACAATGAATAATAGCTGATCAGTGACACAGTAAAGGGAACATCGCCACAGGTAAAACTGGGAGGGCTTCACAAACAGAGAGCTTGCGAAGTGAAATATCTCATATACCATGATACATAATTATTAAAGCCTGATTCCTCCGCCCGGTAGCAGAATTGTGACCTTGCTTTATTTCCCCCAGAAACTCAAAGTAGATGTTGATCACATTCTCAGCAAGGAAAACTGCGTTTATCAAATGCACTTCAACATGTTTGAATGACCAACAAAATAGTTTTTAAATATGGTGTTTATAAAATTCTCATTTCCCCCAACTTTCGTCAACTCAATGAAAAAAGGTTCCAGCCATGTAAGTCAGAGTTAAAAGCGCTCCCTTAAAACTTGTCCAAGATTGTCAAGAAAACATGTTTTCTAACGTTATTTTCATAATGGTGTCCTTTACAAAATCAAATTCAATTTGATCAAGGGAGCCTCTTACGCGGACGTTCTTATAGCTGGTCACGCACTCCTGGAAGATTGCGTGACGAGCCCAGGGAGCGTCTGCGCAATAACCAATGATCAAAGTAAAATCACACCAGTTCAAACATGTGCACCAGACCAGGAAGAGATCAAACTCTCTTCAAGTGGAGTAGGACTCTACTAAAGAATGAAGCTAGACCCAGTCTCACCTTTACTTTCATAAGTTTTCCAATAAAGCTGTCGACAACGACTGTAAAATGAGTGTCACCTTCCTTTACGCTTCCGGAAACACTAAAGGAATGAAAAGATAAAACAACATTACTCAAAAGAAAAACTACATGAAGCTGTAATAAACTGTTCATGGCAAAACACACAAGCAATGAAGTCCTTTCTTGCAAATGATCAGGAATAAAGCGCGCTTCCGTTTGACCGCCAGCCATTATCAACTATCATTCACTTTGAGCTTGTTCATATTCTTCATGACAGTAGATGATAGTTTTCCAGTTTGATCACGCGTGTGACAGTTCACGATAGCATGGATATCATGGACCATCACGCACCGTTTAAACACAGATCAATTTGTAATAATAGCTTGGACCTCGTCGTCTAACAATAACTTAATTTTGAAACGTTTATGTCATATGACAAATCTAACAAATTACTAAAGCCCGAGACGGTCACACTAGGCGACAAGTCGCTGCAACAATTCGGCTTGTGTGAAATTGTGAAGTTGTGGGAAATCTTTGTCGCTGCGACAGAATTTTGTCGCTGCGATCTGTTGTAAGAATTTAAACTGGTCTGAATTTGTGCGACTAATCGCAGCGACAAAATGACTGAAAGCAGCGTTGTCGCAGCGTGTGTACACTTCAGCGACGCGTCGCTCCGACAAAATATAAATTAACCAACGAGAGAGCGTCATTTATTTTCCTATGATCCCTCAGTAGCCTGTTCAAAATGGCGACTGAACATGTGGATGGGGAAAAATCTGAGCGATCCGAGGATTCTTCGCCTTCAACATGGAATGTATCCGCAACTTAAGTAGTAATCCAGTTCTATAAAGACAATAGCCTCCTATGGGATGAATCCTCCATAGCAGGTTCTTTAAAAATAAGGTAATAAGACCCTCTTTCTTCTCTTCTTCTTTTCCTCTATCGTTTCCAGGATCTTCTTTCAACGTGTTTATATTGTTCGTTATCTAACAGCATCCTTAACAGAAGTAAAAGCTTCTTTTTCTTTGACCTTTGCTGCTGGTCCGCCAAGTTGAATTGGAACTAGTTCGCATTCCCCCTCATCCGAAATCACTGCGGTGCTTGGCAGGAACAAGCATCTTGTCGCAGCGACTTGTTTTGGAAACAGTTCACACGGAGCGACTTATTGCAGAGACCTGTCGCCTAGTGTGTCACGGCCTTAATGTGAAAAGCGTATAAGTAGCAGCTGAGCACGAGTTTTTTTTTCCAGTTGTGACACAACTTAAGCAAGAGCAGAGTTCATTTTCCCTTGATATCGGTACAACGCTATAGCATTCGAGTTGTGAAATGACTGGTGGTTATACGAAGAGGCTACGTTTGGTTATACAACACAGCTTAATTAACAGTGTTACCTTTCAATCTCGTAAATTTCAGATGACCTGCCTTCTCTTACTCTAAGTGACCAAGCACCTGGATAAGCTTTGAGCTGGAAATATCCCTACACGTCATACAAAACAAAAAACAAATAACATTCACTTGAAATGCTCCAAGCCGCTAGGGCACACAATTTTATCTCTATAGGAACGATTATTTTTGGCGCTTCCCGACCCTTGCGCTTTTGTCCTTTCCCGGATTTTGCTCGCCAAGTTATTCAAGATGGCGACTCCGTGGATTGAACTTCACAGGCAGAGGGTGCAACGCAGAACACAAAATTAGAGCGACTGCTCACAGAAATTTAAATCATGAATGCAATACCAGAAAGCCAAAAACCAAAAACGAGTGCGTGAAAGGCCATAAAAACGTCGACGTAGGGGTGGCGTAAAAGCGGAATGGAATCCCGAAAACTAGGCAAGAATAAAATGCACTCCATTGGTTTAAGGTAATTTGTATGAACACATTGTTTATAACGTCAAGAAGTTCTGGCAGCTGAAAATCGTTTTGTCACTAATATAACCTTTCATTAGTCTCCTTCGCACCCGTTTTTTGGGATGTCATGCAACGCTCAACGAAGCAACTTGAATAGCAAATATCTAAGCGGAACTGTTGTGCTAAAATATCCTGATTCTTTTGTTTCCATTGTGTCCAATACGCGGGAGCGTTGCGTGACATCCCAAAAAACGGCTGCGAAGGAGACTAACCTTTCATTGCATAACTTTAGTCTAGAGCTCGTTGTAAACGAGAATGAGAATAACAAATAAACAATAGTACACACACACACAAAAAGAGAGAAATTTCCTGTGGTAGACAAAATGTAGAGGGAAACTGTACATCCATTTCATTAACTTTCTTATCAATAATACTAAATAACAGTATTAAAAATAATAATCCTTTATATTTACTAATGATGCTACGGTCGGGATAACCTTCTCAAGCAGGTAGCTTGTTCTACCTTCCTCCCTTCTAAGAAATGTTTGTCATCGAGGCCTAAGTGGGACATCAGGTGTTTGTGGGTCCGGAGGGAGGAGAGGGAATGCACTTCTTCCTGTATACTACGGAATGTAATCGCCGCTGGAGGTGGGAGAACGGGACTTTAAACAGTGCCAGTAACAGTTAAGGAAGTTTGCACAATCTTACCAAATTCGCCATAACGATCGTATCAAACATGCCAGGGTTTCTCGGTGTACCAAGAGTAAACTGAAGTCCTCTTGGTGGCTGCCTGGTATGAAAGTCCGAGCAATGGCCTGTCGGTTAAAGAAAAACATATAAATTGAAGACAATTACGGGACTTGAAGTCTGAATTTGAGCCTAGCGGCCCATCAAGTCCAGTTTCCACAGTGTGAATCGATTAGGAGAATTTCAACTCTGCATCATATGGGATGCTAATCCATTACAGGGTACCTCTAACTAAATTACTTGTACTCATTTATACACCTGGGTGGAGAGAGGCACTGTGAGAGTAAAGTGTCTTGTCCAAGAACAAAACGCAATGTCCCCGGCCAGGGCTCGAACCTGGACCGCTTGATCCGGAGTTCACTACACTAACCATCAGGCCACGGTGACTCCTACTTAAAGGAGCACTGTCCCTATATATCTTTCAGACTTGAATAAAGAGTGAGACATTGGCTGTGGTCACATCAAGGCTACTAAATAAAGTTAGGATAAAGAAAACTTCGGTTAACTACGCGGTAGTGTGACCTTTCCTTTATTTATATCCTAGCTACGGTCAGGAAATTTACGCTTCGGTGTTCAAAAAACATTCTCAAACTCATTAATAATTCATCAAGTTTAAACAAAGGAAATCATGACCGTGACGGTGTTTGGATATCTGATCTTAATTAGCATAGATTTTAACGACTTTATTTCTTTATTTTCTCCTTAGTTTTAGTTTCGATTGAGAAGATATATCAAACACTCAAGACAGTGTCTGACCACATTTCCAAACACCTCGAAGTTCGTCAAAAACANTCTCCTTAGTTTTAGTTTCGATTGAGAAGATATATCAAACACTCAAGACAGTGTCTGACCACATTTCCAAACACCTCGAAGTTCGTCAAAAACACGCCGCTGCGTGCCGTATATTCAACTCCCTTCTCGGTGTTTGGAAATGTGGTCAAACACGGTCTTTCCTGTTTGATATATTACATACAAACTAACGAAAGCTATACCCAACCATGATACGTCGGTTAAGCCAAGGAAGCAACAACAAGAAAAGAAATTTCTCGAGGAATTCTACGTTTCATCTCGGCAGTTCCTACATTTCAAGCATTCGATGCCAAATCACACGTTCTAAAGACTGTCAAAATAGTAATATCACATGATGTTTCTAACATCGCTGTCGTTGATCATCATCATAACTTCCAATTGGTTTCGCTCAATAGGTCACTATGGATATGAATTCAGCTTAATAGTGAGGCCTAGAGGACACAAACAAAAGAAATGAATAAACATGTTATTCAATTTCCTTTGTTTGTGTC